AATAAATTCGTTGGAGAGGGAAGCTCCACGACGCGATTCAGGTCGCTGGACCCGAGCTCCTGTATTGCTATACTTGTAAATCACAACCAATGGAGTATTAGTTTAATAACTAGGTGTGTGTATATATATAATATTTTTATGTATATGTTATACGTATCTAGCGTAGTGTTCTTCTCGATCGGGCGACCAGGCCCAATTACATGATAATTTATATATATATATATATATATATATGTATATGTGTATATATATATATTTATATATATATAAGATCGTCACAGCGTTTCGCGGATAAACTTGCAGTGTTTGTCTTGGCGAACGAATATAAAAAACGGCCGCGAAAAACCCGCGAGTCGGACAGAATTTCTCAAAAATATCTCGACGACGGTCGATTATGCAAAGCATAGGATTACAAAGTGGAAGGTGGACGCGGTGAAAAGAGAAATAGAAGGGACAGAGAATGGTGGACGAAGGGATATAGATCCTATCTGCTCGTCGATCCGCGAAACGTTCCTCGAAAATCAACCTGCTGATACGGATGTATAAGTAAATGTAATGCGTTTAATGTAATATATCATGTAGTACAATAATATTTCTACGCACTGCCGAACTTCCCATCCAAGAACGATCGGGGAAACTTTCGACGTTTAAACGCGACCTCGATCACTTTCTTGCCCAGAGTGTCGCTACTTTCCGCCTGAAACATACGCGTTCCGTAAACTGCAGAAAGTAATTAGAACGTATATAAATACAGTCGCGGCAAGGTATTCAGGGGACGGACTTTAATATCTTCGACCGACCGTTTCGAAGGAAACGCACCGGTTAAGTCGGATTATCCGAGGTCAGGGTAGCGGAGATAGCGAACAAACGACTCGTTGAAACGGAGGATGCATGGGTGGTGGGAAAAGAAGCAGCGAGAGAACCATGGAGAACGAATAATTCGAAAATGCAGTGCGTTGGCAGGTTCGATTAGCCAGCGACAGTGGAAGAAGTTCACCATTAGTCAGACTCGACGGACAATCAGTGAAAGAACCGTAACTGGAACGAACGTAATCGTCATAAACTGTCGGGACAGGGAGTACTAACGGAAACGAACGAAGCGACAGGCATCTTTCCATCGACTTATCTAATTGGCCCGCGACGAGTAGTAATCACGTTAATTTCAGCGGCGTTCGCTCCTGACGCGAATTTTTCGCGTACGGAAAACAACCGTGAAACGCGATTCGTTCGCGTCTGTCGACCAGGAAACGCGAGAATTCGTCGATGCGAACGCTGCGAACGAAATATTCGTTTTCCCCGCTCTGCCCCATCGGTCGCCATATTTCTTCCGTTCTTCTTCGCCCGGGGGAGAAACGAACGACAGCGAAATCGTGTCCGTCACCTGGCTAACAAATTTCGCGCGCTGTCCTTTCCTGTGCGGGTATCACGCACTGATTGCCGCTCGTTTGTACAAGCGATCTCGTCGGAACACGTGTTGCTGCACTCTCGAATATTCGTTGAAAGAGAAGAGAGAGAGAGTAGGAGAGAAGGTATATACCGGGAGCGAGATAAAATTCGTGGGACGACGCGAAGAAAAGTCCGAGTAGGTCTCGGGGATGGAAATCTTCTCGAAGCGAGAGGGTAACGAGCAATTGTCTGGAGGCAGCCGTCTGGACAAAGAAAAGGAGCAAGGTCCTAATCGGTGATCATTGGCGCGCGAGAGTTTGCCGGTCGGCGAGTCGGATCTATGCAATCGACGTGGAAGCTGTAACGGAGAAAATTTGCGATAACCGACCACTCTGACCTCTCGTTTGCGAGCTTAACGGAGGAGAAAGAGGGGCTGTATAACTGGAATTTTACGGCCACTTCGGGAGAACGCGAAGTCCAGCTTGGCTGGGAATCGAGTCGGCCTCGCGTAATATCCAGTGTCGCGTTAACAGAGTTTGCTGTCGTAAAAAGAGAGGGTCGCGTATAAAGGAAAGAAGAAAGGTTGGTCGTTTTTAAAAGAGGCGTGGAGAATGGAAGAAGGCAGCAACCTTGACGATAGGGTGACATCGGGGAAAGGGACAAAGCAAAGAGGGCAAAGTGGAGAGGAAACGTGGGAAGTTCACGCGAAGGATTAAAGAAACGCAGGCTCGAGATCGGCTTCAACGTCCAATTAAAACTGTTCAAGCGTCGCGTTTAATTCCCTCTTGGATAGGAATTCGCGCCGCGTTTGGACAGTGCCACGAATAAAGTAATGTTCATTTGTCTATTCTAATAATTAAAAATCTTGTGGTGTCCGTAGCACGGCTACGAACGTGTTCTCACAACCTTATCACAACCTTATTATAGAGCGCCCTGGTGACGAGGTCGAGGTTTGAATTAACCAGCCTTTCGCGCCATCTCCTTTCACACCGATTACCTATGCGACACGTCCCCCACTCGTATCTCGATATTCTCCTTGTCCCTTCTTCTTCGCTATTCCCATCTTCGCCAATCTGTGTTTCTTTTTCACCTGTCTACCCCCCTGCCCCGTTATTCGATTTGGCGCGGCACTCGGGGGGACGCAAACGTGTCACCTATTCCCTGGTTAATCGGCAACGACTCGTTCTAATTTGACTCCTCGCGCTTCAATCATTCGACGATACGAAACGATACGAGACAAACGCGAGAATCCGATGATCGACGACACGTTCCACCACGTCAGCGCCACGCATTGTCCTCGCTGTCCTATCAACGAACCGATTCGCCCGCCATTATGTTATTACCCGTGAATGATCGCGCTTGGTAAACGATCTCGTACCGTTGTTAACGATTCCAATCTCCGATATGTACCGTGGCTTTCTTTCAACGGACAGAAGGATTTGCCGACGTTGATGCATCGGCGAACGTTGAGGCACGAGCAGCCATCTTGGCATTGCGACCGCGTACGAACCGTGTACCACAATCCTGTGCACGATACGCGTGTCGCCATAGCTGCCTGTCAGTGGAAAGAAGACTGGAGACGGCTTAAATATAATTTTATACAGAGACATGCAGACCACCGCAACACTCCTCGTTTCACACTTTTCATCCTGCTCGTCTCTTCGCGTGTACACACGTTCCTCGTCAGATCGAGACGAGCCACGTTCCTCTTCTTTCGTTTTCCCTTGTCCTCTTATTTTCCTTCTACTCTTCGATAGTGCCCTCTCCGCACTCGGATTTCTTTGTTATCGATATTCACAACCATAATACTTGCGATTGATAATGAACGGGGTAGGTTAAACGTCTACCGCACATTTAAGGATATGCGATGTCTTTCGCTCGTTATCGTTGCTAAGAAAAAACTGTACTCTTTACGTTTCGTTTACCCTCCTCGCGAGCATCGATGACGAAACCTCGAAACGTGACCATGTTACCCGAGAAAAATGCAGGACGATCGACGCGTTCCAGATCGCCGATGGTCGATACTCCGTGCACGTGGATCACCGTCTAAATCGAGAGTTTTGGCTCGCTGGATTTGCCTCGAATCCCGATCGAGAATCGGAATCGAATCGGAATCGAATCGGAATCGAATCGGAATCGTGGAAAAAGTTAGCCCAATTGACAGCACGCGTGAAATTAAGATTCGAAGAGCGACTGGAAGGCGCGCTTCTTCGAGGAAGCAACCTTGACTCGGTTACATCCGCCGAATCTCGAGTGATTTCCGATCGGTTGTCTCCATGACCATGAACTCGGGCGTCTCAGCGACACTCTGTCCAGAAGATTCTTTGAAGAAAAGAAGGTTGAACGTCGACGAAGCAAGCAGCCGACTTCAAACAAAACGGTCTTTTTACGAGGACTACTTAAGAGAACGATCATCGACCATCAGGAGGAGGGCAACCGTGCCTATTGTTCCACGAGTAAATCCCCGCTCGTTTTTTGCTACTAAAAGATCGTCAGAGAATGTCGAACGGGTTGTATCCACCTTATACGTATGACCGATCTCCCGATAGGTGAGATACAGTACCTGTGCGTATACCACCTAGGATACGTAAATGCTATGTCTTCTAAACGTCTTAACAGGAGTCTTGGTCGATTTCGTAGAAAATTCCTATTCGTAAACGTGAATTTCTCTCCTCGGGTTTGAGATTGGCGACGAGAAGAACCCTGGCCATTTCGTTCCCCGACACAACGTCCGGATCCATCGTTTCATCATCTCGCGTATCTCTCTATCCCGTATCGAATCGAAAAAGAAACGTATCCACGGTCCAACCCTCGTCACCCGCCGTGGATAACGAGAAAGTCGAAAGCTGCGCGAAAGAAATTTGAGAGACACGACGTCTCGTGTTCTCCCCGATTCGTCAGGGGCGTACGAATCCTGGTGTCCTCGGGGGAGCGATATTTCACGAGGCTGCTTAGCGAATGGAACGATCGACTCGACGCCATAGTCGAATCCGTAACGCGACGCTACCCCTATTTCGAGCGCTTCTAATTCGATGCACCGGATCGAGGACCTCAGCTGCACGCCCGGACGATCGAGCGTTAACCGATCGAACCTATCGATCGCTAGAGGAACGAAGCTACAGGGCACGCGTCGAGTTGTCGCGTACCCAAAGTCAAAGTGACGATAGCCAATGAGACGAGACGAAGGAACGATCGCAGACACAATCCAGCGCGACTTCATTTCCCTAAGGTTCCTTATCCGCGCGCTTGTTTCCTCGCTCGCTTTGCTGGATTAATGGAACAACTTTAATGGCACGAGCTTCCGCGAGTACATCGCCGCTAAATTAGACTATCGCGCTCGGCGTTTGGTCGCTCAATTTTCGCCGCGAATCGAACTCGCGGATGCTCCCCTCGTTATCTCGTCCCCGTGGCATCGACGTTCGCTCTGCTAACGGAATTCGTCGCCCGTAAATTACGCAGGATCGGGATACGTCGGTGCTCGAAGGATTTCCTTCTTGCCAACGAACGCGAAAAGAATAGATAAACGGAACTCGACGTTTAGTCGAAAGTTTCGGCGATACCGTTTCCTCCTCTTCCCATGGTCTAACCGTAAGAACTGAAGAACCCTTGGCCGTTTCGTGACGCGAGACGATGGCTGGAACGAGCGTCGTACCGCGACCAACCGACGCATCTACTCGGACCATCTTCAACAGACCTCGATCCGGAAGCCAGCCGAACTCTCATCTCCTTCGTCGTTGTCTTCGTCTCCCTCGACGACCAATCCCAAGCAGACCGAAGTTTCATCGTCGTTTCCGCTGCGTGGGCGAGCGAAACGGCAACGAGAACGAACAGCAGTGTTTCCCACAGATTCGAATTAGAACTAACCAGCCTCCCCGTGTTTCAACGAATACGTAGCAGCCTCCTGAATGCTCTCCTATAGTCGAGATTGAAGATGGTGTAGATGAGCGGGTTCAGGGCGCTGTTCACGTAGCCGAGCCACGTGATGAAGTAGACTATCCGATCCGACGGGCAACAAGCCGGACAGAACGGCACGATCACGTACATGAGGAAGAATGGTAGCCAGCAGACGACGAACACGCCCATGATCACGCCCAGCGTCCTTGCTGCTCGTCTTTCCTTCGACAACGAGATCCTCTGTCGCTCCTCGATGAACTGGTAAACCGTGGTGGTCGTGGCTGGCACACGACTACCTCCGACTGTCCTCCTGGAGGACGTGGTCACGTTACCACCGCCGCCTATCGTCACTTCCGTCGGCTCGTCGTCGATCAACGAGGGTTTCGCGTGCGATCGTGGCGTCGATCTTTCGTTATGGTTCGTCTCCGAGCTCACGGATTCCTCCGCGTCGTCTGCCTCGCGGTGTCTGGTCGACTGGACAGCGTTCAGTCTGCTCTGTCTGGCGCGTTCTCTCAGTCTTCTCCTGGTCGCCAGGAAGATCTCGAGATAGACCAGGCTCATGAGTAACAGAGGGATAAAGAACGAGCCTAGCGAGGAGTAAATCACGTAGCCCTGCCTTCTGGTCAGCTGGCAGGGTGTTCCCGGTTCCAGTTCCTCCGGCCAGTCGTTCCAGCCGGCCAATGGCGGCGAGCTGATCGCGCCGGATAAGATCCACACGCCCGCTATCGTCGCTAGAACCCTCTTCAGGGTTCGTTTCTGCGCGTAGTTGATGGGATCGGTGATCGCCCAATAGCGATCGAGCGCGATCGCGCAGAGGTTCAGGATGCTCGCGGTGCAGCACAACACGTCGCAGGTCAACCACAGTTTGCAGAGGTGTATGCCGAAGATCCACTTGCCCAGCAGAAGATAGGCGACGTTGAACGGCATCACTAGAATGGCGACCGCGAGATCCGCCACTGCGAGCGAGACGATAAAGAAGTTCTGAACGATTCTCAGCGGTCTGTAGGTGAACACGCTGAGGATCACCAACGCGTTGCCCAATACTGTGGCCAGAACAAGGAAGCCTAGTGTCAAAGAGGCGGCTGCGGCTTCCCAAACTGGCAAGTTTGAGCCTGTTTCCTCTTCCGGTGGGCCGCAGCCTGTTACCTCGTAGTCTTCGGTCATCGTGCCGCCTGATTCCCCGCTCGAGTTCATGTTGTCGAGCCCGCTCCCTGGAACAATGGGTGCTCGTTAGCTAGAAGAACGGATCCCGTATCGATCTGATTAAGCAAGGACGGGCAAGCCTTGTTTCCATCTAATCACGGTTACATTCGCGTCGCTCGACTCTGTGTTCCACCATCTACTCTAATTCTAAGTACAAATAAATCTTACAGAGTCGACGTTTTCCTTCGAAATGCGATTCGAGAGTACGAAAGAGCAGTTGGATAAAGCGAGCATCAAAATTGCTTTAGAATCTTTCTTCGTTTCTGTTCGATGCAAAAAATTGTTCGATGCAAAATTTACGATTCAGAATTGGCATTTTAACGAAACAAATTAAAAATAAATAAACGTAAAATCCCAATTCGTAATAAAATCCATCCCATCCATTTTTTCCATGGAATATTTCATCTGTCAAGTCGATCAATTTTGTAGAACTAAACTAAAAGCAGGAATTTATTTCGCATATGAAAAGTTAAATACGCAAAAGTCAAGTGTTTCGATTCTGAAATTCGAAAAAATTTCGAGATAATCAGTTTAGCCCATGAATGGGCCACGAAATGAAGGAATTATACGTAATAAGCCCTGGTGCGATTTCCATCTCTTGCAGAATAATTTGTGGCACGGAGTTGGGTTTATATCTATGCAAGAGTTGGAATCGACTCGATATCTCGTCGCGGAAACGACGTATTGTTTGTCGCAAATATAAATAGGCCCTGCGTGATCTCTCCTTCATCGAACGAATCGAGAACACGAACGAGAAAGAAAATGTTGGACACACGTTGAAAAGGTTAAGATCGATTTAGCATCGTGTCATAAAAGCAACGTATCGTTTATCACAAATATAAACACAAGTCCTACGCGATTTTCTTTCTCTTTGAAATGTCCCGAGAACACGAGAAGCAGCAAGATATACAACGATGGAGTTAAGTTTCACTTTTAGAATCGTGTCAGATCGCTGATAGATCCAGACAGCCCCACCCGAGAAAGTACTTTCAACAAATACTATGTCGCGTATCTTACCTAATCGCGTGTCTTGTAATTATTCCGCTTTTTGTCATACATAAATAATTAATACGAATTTTATTGCTCGAGCAATATCGCGGAGAAATATTAAAACACAAATTACAAGAAAATTTCAGCACGTCTGGGAGAACGTTAAATAATGTAAATATACATTTACACAGTCAGTTTCGTTTATTCTGTTGCTCTGATAGAATGTCGTTTAAGCAGTATCTAAGGATACTTTTAATTAATATCAATCATGCATAAATAATTAATACGAATTTTATTGCTCGAGCAATATTGCGGAAAAATATTAAAATACAAATTACAGGAAAATTTCAGCACGTCTGGGAGAACGTTAAATAATGTAAATATACATTTACATAGTCAGTTTGGATTATTCTGTTGCTCTCAGAGAGTGTAGCTTAAACAGTATCTAAGAACATTTTTAATTAACGTAATTTTTAATCTCGAGTCCTAGTTTAATATTATTTATACAAGTGGTGGATGTGATGATAAGGGTGGTTAGAGAGATTAACAAGATTTACAAGACCGAGTTACCTTTTGCTGGCTGCAGAGACCAAAAATAAAAATTACGCGTACACTTTTACACATTTCAACCCCATCCTGAATAAAAACACTTCTGAATACACCCCTGTGTCGCAAAAAGACAACGTTTGAAGATCATAGTGCGAAATCGCGATGCATCGATTGTCTAAATTGTCCACGTTTCTGTTGCCGATCAGAGGGTATAGTTTAAACAGTATCTAACGATATTTTTAATTCATGTCATTTTTAACCTCGAATTCTAGTTTGATATTACTTATGTGACAAGTGGTGGATGTAATGGTAAGGGTGGTTAGAGAGATTAACAAGATTTGCAAGACCAAGTCCCACCTGTGTCGTAAAAAGACAACGTTTGAAGATCATAGTGCGAAATCGCGATGCATCGATTGCCCAAATTGTCCACGCCTCTGTTGCCGATCAGAGGGTATAGTTTAAACAGTATCTAATAATATTTTTAATTCATGTCATTTTTAACCTCGAATTCTAGTTTGATATTACTTATGTGACAAGTGGTGGATGTAATGGTAAGGGTGGTTAGAGAGATTAACAAGATTTGCAAGACCAAGTCCCTCTTTTCTGACTGCAGAGGCCAAAAATGAAAATTGCACGTATACTTTTGCACATTTCAACCCCATCCTGAACAGAAACACTTCTGAATACACCCCTGTGTCGCAAAAAGACAACGTTTGAAGATCATAGTGCGAAATCACGATGCATCGATTGTCTAAATTGTCCACGTTTCTGTTGCCAATCAGAAGGTGTGTGCTTTGGTTTCCGCTGAAACGCACGTTGCGCGGTATTCAACGTTGCGTTTCAAAGTAATCGCTCCGTTTGAAAGGCCATATAGGAAATAATGGAAAAGTAGAGGTTTTAAGTGCCCCGGTAAATCCCGGCAATGGCAATGGCGGTAACAGCGGAGGCAACGGCACATTTTGCCTTTCACGGAGTCCCTTCGTCCGTAACCACTTGTTTTTTTTTCTCCTCCGTGCAGTTCAGAATTTTCACGCGCGATAGATCAAAGTAATCCGACGCGAGACGAGAAAATCCTTGATCGGTGACATCAGAATTTCGCTGATGGCCTACGTAAGCCACTCGGATATCCGAGCTACTTTTCCGTCATCATCGCGCCACGTGCAACGTCAGAGCGTGTTTCTTCCTCTTTGCTACCTCTCTGCCTCGAGAGTTCGTCCCTCGGCCAGCCTTATCGGCAAACTTTTCGCACCTTTCGCAACGGTAACGAGTTTCAACGCGTGGGAAGCGACCTCGATGGTCCTTTCTACGACGAAGAAACCTAAGTTAACGGAAAGAATAATCCCGGAGAAACAATTAACCGGGGAACCAAATAACGCGGCCGCGAAACGACGCCGTTGGTGAACGGAGAGATAAGATGAGACTAAGAAGAAAGAAGAAAGAAGGGAAAAGTAGCACAACGGAATTTCCGTTGGAAATGTTCACCAGAGATACGCCATAGTCGGAATAATCGAGTCGAAAAGCAAAATATCCGAGCACGCAAACATTTAAGGGGTGGATTAAACGATTACCGAGTTTATTTCCATTCGCCAATGTCCTCCGCGGTTTGTGCCAGCCACACGCGTGCACCAGTGGACCTCGCAACATGGCGGCTACCGTGAAATTCGCAACTATCTTATCGAATGATCCGCTTCCGCTTGTAACGCAAACGAATTCCGCTACCACCCGACGCGACCGCGTACCAACAATTCCCTAAACTATTTCCAATGCACGACCACTCCCGACTTAGTATGCAGCCCCTCGTAGAACGCACGATATTTGGTTAACAGTCATTAGAAATTTAAATGAATCACGCGAAACGCTAAGAACTCCCCAACGAAATACACGCTGACCTCCGCTTTGCATGCTTGCAAACGCGAAAAATTAAGCATTCCATGTTACCTGTAAGTAATTTGCTTGTTTAAGGGGATGTAGTTTCACGAAACATTGTTAAAAGGTAATCCTCCGGAGAATGTTCTATATGGTAAACGATACTGTGAGCCTAAAGGTCTAGCCGCTGCATCTACTTAGCGTAGGCACTTAATCTCTTTCCGCTTTCGGGGAACCCTGCATCGAATCGAACGAAAATATTCGCGCCACTGATCCGACGCTGCTTAGCCAGCCTTGTTTGGATTCTAATAAACATTTATACGATGTTGATAAGGTGGACAGCAAAGTTGCTTCTCTTCGATCTCACGGTTCCGGTACCCTTTGTTTCACCAGTTGGGAACTTGAGAATAATTTAAAAGCGGAAATTGTAAGAGTATGTAAGAGTATTCGAGCTTCGGTTACCGATAAGCCGGCATGAGTTCGGTTATCACGTAGCAGTGATAACCGAAGTCTCAAAACGAAGTAGCGATCCGCTTGATCCGCATAGCAGATTAACAAAGGAGGCCCACCTTTAACCTCTTGACTACGACACATTTTGATACGCAGCGGCCGTACCATACGGCAGGAATTGAGTTACGATGCGCGCCATTTTTGTGAAAACAAGCGCCCTCCGTGTCAGAAAGCCAAACTACACCCAGCGCCTATAGGCGATCTTTGTGTTACAAACGCACAATTTCTAAGCGCCTATAGGCGCCCTCCGTGTCACAAACGCAAAATTTCTAAACTTTAGTTCGAGAGCTTCAAGATCGAGAATACGATATTGCCGAGTTACGTTAATGGATTTCGCTGTCGGGTTACACTTTGATCGGTGTTTCGAATGATCAGAAACCACCGGAAATTTATTCTGCCCGTCTTGTTCCGTTCGCTCAAATACACCTGCTGACGGACCAAAGTAACGAATAAAAATAGCTGCGAAAGCCGGAACACACGCACGACTGTTCATCGGCTGTTCGATATCTCGCGGTGCCAGATCGGATATCTGGAAATTTCGCCGATATTTACACGAATATCCTAAATTTCTTCCTGTGTTCGTTTCGCGGACGCTGCACACCGCTGCTCTGTTGCGTGAAAATCCCAGCTGTAAAAGGAACAAGACCATCTCGTCAAGATGGTCTTCCATTTCCGCTTTCACGCCTGTCCATCTATTATGAATATACCTAAATCGTTCTACCGGTCAAATAACCGGTCGTGGTTGGCAAGATAGACTACAATTTTTCCTCAGTAAACAAGAATAAAAAAGAAAGTAAATTTTGAAAAATATATTATACGTATATTTTAGCAAAGATTGCGAAGTGGGGCCTCCATGGGCCCCTGTAACTTTCAAGTTACATGCTAATGTATGGGTATTTTATTAAATACTGCATTCAACGTTATCGTCTTGATCACTCCAGTTCGCAATTTTTCTTTCGATATATTTACAATTATTTTTACAATACTTCCCGTGGTTCCATTTTAAAAAATTCTAATTCTTTTTCATTTACCGGTTATTCGATCATGATAGGTTAGGTCCTATATAGCCCCCTATGACCTTTTTTCCACAAGA